ATGCCTAAACTAATTCTTTGAACTTTTTATAAAAAAAAAAAACTATATAACTTTTTAAAATTAATTTAATAGAAATATGATATCACCACAATTTTTATTTATTTATTTGATAAATATATATATACGCACATGTACAAAGTTACATTACCGGGGAAAATTTTGGAGTTTAAAATGTATTTTGATTCTTTTGTAAATATTAAATGACTAACGAGAAAAATAACTAAAATTAAATTTAATGCAAATTTTAGGATAAACTAAAACACTGTTTGAGTTTAATAATAATAATGTATTAAGAACCAGTTTAAACCATTTTATTTTTAATTCCTATTTTTAAAAATTAAACTAAGAAATCATAATCTGTGTTTCTTTGTTTTATATTATCTACTTTTCTAAAAAAAAGTTTGAATTTTTAAAATCTAAGCCATGTGTTAATAAATAGGAAAATACAGGTAGGTAAAAAAAATTGTGAGGAAGCAAACATAAATTTAGAAAATATAAATGAGGCCATAATTTTTAAAAACTTATTTTTTTTCTAAATCCTGACTAATTAAGAATTCAAATACATGTATTAAAGAAATTGTGAAAATTCAAATATAATTTTTCAAGAATAGAGAATTGAAAATAAAATCATAACTATTACATGAAATGATATGTGGCTACAAAATTTCACCAGTAAAAAAAATGACAAAGTACAAGTTCAATTCTTAATCTTACTCTAAAAAGTTTCTAATTAATCCTAAAAGAAAGCTTATAATAAATCTTTCAACCTTTCATTTTATAACTAATATGTGTCCTTACTATTAATTTTTATCAGTTTGACATTTACGTGACACGCTGACTATATTATTTAAAGATTACATAATAAGTTGAATTTGAGTAGGTCCAAACGTTTAGTAATGTAATTAGATACAATTTACGACATAAACTTATTAGGCCTAAAATAAAAAAAAAACTAATGGACAAATTAAATATATATTTTTTAAATATCAAAATCAAGTAGACACAATTCTAAATTCTAAAAGTTAGTATGACATAAATAAATTATTCTAAAGAGTACTTCTCTTTGGCATACCACCGTTAAATTTTATAAAATAATGAAATGTAAAAAAAAACATATATATAAATATGTTATTTTTCAAAAAAATAAATAGCAGTCAAATTTTTATTTAAGAAGAGTGTTGACCAGTGAGTGGATGAGTATTTTATTATTATTATTATTTTTTCTTTTGGTAAAGATTTGTTTGAGTTTAGGTGGTAAAAGCTACACCAAACTCCGAAGGGTAGAGTAGTGAGTTTTGAGTACATAGCTTTGCACTGAAAAATAAATGCGTAGTTATTACACAATAATTTGTTGTTTTGCTTTGTTAAAATTAATTTTAATTTCTAATCATTGCTCTTATGTTTATTTATATAGCAAGCTGCAAACAGCTAAGTTCGCTGCCCACTCCTTTTTAATATTCATCTCTCTCTCTCCTCTCTCTCTCTCTCTCTCCTCAGCCCCAACAACAAAGAAATTGAAGGATTTTTTTTTTGTTGCTCTGAATTTCTGGGTGCTCCTCCTTTCCTTTCGCAGTGATTTTATTTTCCCTCATCATTTTCTCGGGAAAATTTACTCTAATTTTCCTGGGAAAATTAATAGATCTCTGGTTTGGGCTCCGTTTGCCGGTGCTGTGTAATGGTGGAATTAGCGGCTCCCCAAACAGATCCGGCGGCCGGAGATCTGACATTCTCCGGTTCAATTTGTAATTACTAAAAGCCCCACAAGGAAGAAGGAGGAGGAGGGGTAGTTGAAGGCAAGATGCTCAGAACCAAGACTAAAATCCCACCGGCGCCACCGACAAACGGAATCTCGGCCGTCCCCGGCTGCGGCGGAGATTCTAGGCCGATGGATTGGGAAATGAGACCCGGAGGAATGCTGGTCCAGAAGCGAACCGACTCGGACAAAAACTCGGCCGCCGCCCCAACGATACGCGTCCGAGTTAAGTACGGCTCAGTGTACCATGACGTCCAAATTAGCTCTCAAGCTACTTTCGGTAATTTATTTTTTGTGCTCTTTTTTTTTTGTTAAATATATTTTTGGTCTGCTGCTGTTTTTTTTTCTTTATGGTTGTTAAAAAAAATAAATATAAAGGGTATGTTTTAACATTTTTTTTTAATTATACTATTTCTGTTTCTGTTAAATAAATATTAAAATTTGCTGACGGTAAATTTAACGTCGATAAGAAAGTCAAAATTTTTACCTGCGCTTAGCAAGTCTATCGTCGGCCAACTTTAGAGAAAAACATAATTGAAAAATGTAGCATTAACTTTAAGCTTTTTAAACATTGAATAAGGCACCTAAAACATAGAATTAGCTTTTTGGGTTTTTTTTTTGTTTTGTTTAAAAATAAGGCGAGTTTTGTAACTATTTTTGTTTTTAGTTTTCTTTCTTTTTGATAATTAACTTTACCAAAACTAGTATTTCTTCCTTGCTTTTTAAAAATCTTTCAAAATCTAACTCAATTATGAAAAAAAGGTAATCACTAAAAATTTATCTTTGTTTTAAAATATGGCTAAAAATTTTAATATGTTATGAACAAAGATACCATCAAAAGAAAACAAGTCTTCTTTACAAAAATAGAAAATTCAAAATTAAGGATTCGTTTGATAATGTTATCTTTTTTGTTTCTTGTTTCTCATTTCCAATTTTGAAACCTAAACTATTTATGTTTCTTGTTTTTCATTTTCTTAAAAATATTTTCAAAATTGTATAAAAATTTTAGAAACAATTTTCTGGTTCCGTTTCCAATTTGTTCCAAAATATAAATAAAAATATTATTTCATCATTTTCGAATCCACATATGTTGGGCTCATACAATTCTATAATTTTTCGAAAATATTATCAATCGAGCCCTAAATTGTTTTGGAACGGGCTTATATTTGGTGGTTGTGTTGCAGGGGAATTGAAGAAAATGTTGGTGGGTCCAACGGGGCTACACCACGAAGACCAAAAAGTGATATACAAAGAGAAAGAGAGGGATTCGAAGGCATTTCTTGACGTTTGTGGGATTAAAAATGGATCAAAAATGGTGGTGGTGGAAGACCCAATTAGGCAGGAGAAGAGATTGTTGGAGATGAGAAACAACGCCAAGACAATGAAGGCTTCCAACACCATTTCCCAAATCAGCTTGGAGGTTGATAGACTTGCTGGTCAGGTAACCACATTAAATATCCGTCTCGAAAATGTTTATTTTAGTTCTTCAATTTTTGGTCTTCGAAATTGTGTAAATAGATAGCTAACTTGGTTTCATACATGTGTACTAATGTACGCATGTGTTCGATCACATAAATTGGTTGAGATGGGTTCTAGATCGATTCATATTAGGTATAGTAAAGAGATTAAAGGTTAAAAAACACTCTTAGTTCCGGTACTTTCGCTAAAGTAACGATTTAGTCCCTAAACTTTAGTTTGTAAGGATTAGTTATTATACTTTTAAATTGGTAATAATTTAATCCTTGAATTTTAATATTTAACAATTTAGTCTTTGTAATTTAAAGTTTGTAACGACTTAGTTCTAATCATGAATTTTTTTTTGGTTAAGTTTCCTATATATATATGGATTAATAAACTAAATAGTGACAAAATATATTTATAAATTAGAAGTATTAAATTGTTTATACGACTCTTAATTTTAATAAATTTTTTTATCATAAGGACTAAATTGTTACAATTTTATGCTACAGAGGCTAAGTCGTTATAAACTAAAAGTTTAAAGACTAAACTTTAAGTTGATAGATTAAAATTTAATGTTTTTCTTTCCAAGAAAGAGATGCCAAAAATCTCAACTAAATGACTTTGGAACAATAAAATTTGAGAAACATTAATTTAGTTTTATGTTTTAGAGGATATATTTTTTAATGTATTATTTTTTGTTCATAAATGGTATAGGTATCTGCGCTTGAATCGGTAATTGGTAAAGGTGGGAAAGTGGCAGAGAAAACGGTGTTGAATTTGATTGAGTTACTTATGGACCAATTGCTTAAATTGGATGGAATTATGGGCGATGGAAATGTCAAATTACAGAGGAAAATGCAGGTACCAATTTCACTTTCTTTTCCATTTTCTCGAGAAACAAACACACACAATAGTTACCTAACAATTTGAGGATGGATGGTGATCATTTTGAAGGTGAGAAGAGTGCAAAAATATGTTGAAACTTTAGACATATTGAAGATCAAAAACCAAAACCAAACCCCAATGCAAGTTCAGCAAAGGAGTTCGGATGGGCCGAAACAAGCACAAACTCAAGCCCAAGCCCACGATCGTCATGTTCAACAAACAACGGTTTCTAACGGACATGATCAGTCGAGACACCCGACGGGTCATTCGTCGTCATTGGTGCCCGAAAGGAAATCCACGTCAGAAACAGTTGTTACGACGAAATGGGAGATATTCGACGCGATGACACCGTTGGTGCCAGCCTCTTCTTCTTCAAGTGAAATATCAGCAGGCAACAGCAACAATCATGTTCAACCCAAGTTCAATTGGGAATTTTTTGATTGAAAAAATTTTTCATGAACTATTTTATTATATTGTGTATTACTGTCTAATGTGTGATTCAGCTCTGTTTCTTCTGTTGGTTTGGTTTTTCTTTCCTTCTATTCTTTTGTGTACTTAATTTTGCTTAGGACAATATACCCTTTGTCATTAAGTTCAATAAATGGGTTCCTCCAAAGACATTAATGAATGCAACAATTATAGGAGTTTGCTATTTTTTAAATATCATCTTTTAATGATTTGAACAAAAATTAATATTATTGAACATATAATTTTATTTAAGAACAAAACTTGACCTTATTAGGTTTATCTGTGAATATCAAGTTAATGTATGTGTATAATATGAACAAAATATTACCCAAAAATGACTCAATATATACAACTTAATTAGAACTACTTTAATCCTTGAAACCAGGAGTCGTCAATAGTGTTGTTGTATGTAAGGGAAGCGTTTAGTTTGTCATATCTTCACAAATCGGTCTACTGTCTTAATCAAGTTTCTAGGCAGTGGTTTGATAAGTTATTCATGTTTTAGTACTTAGATTTCGGCAAGTCAAATCTGATTATTCTTTGTTTGTGCGCGGCTTCAATGATACTTTTATTCCGCTCCTTGTTTATGTTGATGATATCATAATTGAGGTTCTTCTTCTGTCATTTAGATTTAAAAAACTCATCTTAATAGTATTTTTAAATTTAAGGACTTGGGATCTTTGAAATATTTTTTGGTCCTGAGTTAAGTTTGTTATTCCAAAGAGATTTTTCTATCTTAACGGAATTATAATCTTTAGGTTTTTGAAGATACCACTCTTTTGGCCGGTAAACCTTCTTCTTTACTTATTGATTCTCATTTGAAATTACTTGCTTAAGTTGGCACTATTTTGGAGGATCCTACTTAATATTATCGCTCTATTGGTTGTCTATTATATCTTACCATCTCACATATTGGGTATTACATTTGTTGTTCATAAACTAAGTCAGTTTGTTGTTCAACCTCAACGTCCTCATCTTGTGGCAATACATCATCTCCTTCAGTATTTGAAGGGTTGTCTTGGCTGAGGTATTTTACTCTCTTGTTCTTCCTCTTATCAGCTTCGTGCTTTCACAGATGGAGATTGTGCTTCTCATTTAGATTCTTGAAAATCTACCACTAGCTTTTGTATATTTTTTTGGGGACACTCTTGTTTCTTGAAGCTAAGAAACAAAATATTATTTCCTGTTCTTCTAAGGTGAACATCAGGCCCTTGCTACTGCTACTACTAGTGACCTTATTTGGCTTACACATCTCTTGAATGATTCTTTTCAACCTCAAGCACTTATCATCTTTGACAACTAAGCCGCTATACATTGTCTCTAATCCAACTTTTCATGAGAGGATGAAGCACATCGAACTTGATTGTTGACGGTGTTGTCCAGCTACTTCCTCTACGTTCAAGTCTACAACTAGTTGACATTTTTACGAAGGCTTTAGCACTCATACTTCTTTTCTCTTCTATTGTCCAAGAAGGGTATTCCCAATATAGGGTGAGTATTAGGTTTATCAATAGTTTGTTAGTTAGTTACTTACATGTTTCATTAAGTTAATTATTTCTCTGGGTACTGACTTTCCTAAGATCTATTTATAAGCGGTCTTTATGATTGAATAAAGTAAAGTAAACTTTATTTACTCTAAAGATGTAATAGGGATATATAAGAAGCGTCTTCCTCTTCTAGATATCCAAAAGCCACAAGGAATATCAGACACTTAAAGAACAGAGAAGGAAAGATATTTATTTATTTTTATTAATTCCTTAATCTTAAAAGAAAAGAAGATATATGATTAATTAAAAGGTTTAAATTATTTTTACCAAATTTTACTAAATTAAATTAAAATTTTCCAAAATGAGCAAAATTTATTTTATTTGAAAAAGAACAAGGAAATTCATTTTAAAATAAAAATAATTTTCCATTTTTATTATTATTTTTTTTAGAAAACACAAAAGAATTTTAAAAAAATATTTGCCATAAAAATAAAACAAAAATGATAGGAAGTAAGATACTACAAATAAAAGAAGAATATATCAGACAAATTTAAGGATTTACACACTTACCTTGAAATAACGGACTTGATTACTTGTGGCAAATCGACACTATGAGTCCAAACCAACATTGGCATAAAAAAAGTAAAAATGGATAAATAACACATAAATCGACGGCTATGCGGATCTTCGGACATATATGAAATGGAATAAAGATGGACCAAACTACTTATGGATGTAACCACAATTAACATCACTACGGTCGGGCAAGTAAAGACAATAAGAGTTACAAAAGTCTTAGCCTAATACTCTTGCGGCAGGTAAATGAAGAAAGAAAACACAAAAGAAACCAGACTAACCTAATTCTAATGCTCTTGGCTGGAAAGGAACGACAAACGAAAGCAATTCGAATGCTAAGTTAAAAACTAATAAGGAAAGCAAAAAAAGTTAAAAACTAATAAGGAAAGCAAAAAAGTAAGCGAACAAAAACAAACAATAAAATATAAAAATCAAACTTGTTTTGTTCACACAAAAATAAAAGTCAACAAACAATAGGGGGTTTGCAGCAAAAGGGTATTTTAAGGCATGGTGTGAATTGGACAAGGTTTGGATCAAGGTGAAATCAAAGGTAAGCTCAAGTATAAAGAAATTTTATGGCTGCAAATAGGGCTGTCTCGCGGTAAGGATGGGGTGCTAGCGACTTTCCTCTTTTGTGTCTCCAAATGGGGCAAATAGCGACCAGATTAAATAGTTGGTTCAAAAAATAATCTGACGGACGATTCGGGATTTGAATGGATGGAACTACAACTTTGAATGTGCAGAGGTAAGGGTGCTAGCATGCGCAGGCTGGGACGTGCGGTAGGGGTTGGTCCTGGTTGGCCCTTCTTCAAACTCCTTCCTTCTCTTAGTTCTTGTTTTTTTTTTAGTACAACACGTAGGGGTGAAACTCACAACCTCATGGTTGGAAGTATATGCCAATTACCACTGAGCTATGCTCGCTTTGACCTCTTATTGGCTCTTGTTGATCCTTGAGAATGTTCGAAATATGCTCATGGGTCCAATGAGTTCTTTTCCTTTGTGGAGCCTCCATAAGTTTTGCATGCTCCTTCTTGGCGTTTGGTTAGTTAAAGAAGTTGTTGCAATTATGATTATATCACCGCCCACAAATAATTCGAAATATTATTGTTGAAGGGAAAAATACAACATGACATGTGGACCAACCAAGTTATCGTAAGGTCAGGTCCATCCAATCAAACTCAATAGAGAAGATTGACCTACCTTTAAAACAAAGCTGAAGACCATAAACTAATTAGAGAATCGACCAAGTTCTCTAGAATCGACCTGAGGACTTTAACCTCAAACTTGATAGCCGACTTGGGCCTTGATAATCCTTAACCACCGGTCGGGACAGTTCCAACAGCCTTGTCCCACTACCTATCAAACGAATACTCTACCACTTATTTATGTATAGAATTCTGCTCCGAAAACGACAATACTTTAACTCGTGCCTTACTGACTTGGTTGCAAGACATGACTTGCTCCCACGATCATAGTTAAAATTAATTTGGTAGAACTATTATCGCTTTCCAAGCACAAAAGAATAAATTTTGAGTATCTAGGAAATGTGAAGGAAATATATATATAATCTATGGAAACCAACAAATGAAATAGGAATAACACTATAGTTCATACTATATCATAGCTCAAGTAAGTATCGATTAAGACATACATTTTCAAGTTTAGAAATTTGAATCCTCACCTCTACATATTATTGAATTTAGGAATTAAAAAATAGACGACTCATAGTTATAGTAACAATTATGTATGAATCTATTAATTTTATTGAGTAAAAATAAATTCTAAATAATTTAGAGGGAATGAATTTAAATGAGGGTGGCAACATGATTATTAAAAGTAGAAAACCATAGTAATATTTTCATTAAATTATATTTTAAATATCAATAGATCTTGTACGCTAATGTGTATATATATTATTTTACAAATATTTTTTTTAGTGAAAAAAAATGAGGAGAAAAATTTGTTGTGGTATCTGCACGTAGCTGGTGGGGAAGCCACACGTGTCCTTGTTTTTATCGCTCGTGTCACTCGCACGTGGCAATCTGACAGTCTGTCACTGTCCTCGACTAGACCCTCGTCTCACCGGCCAAAATCCCCTAAATCCAATCTTTCATAAGCTCAAAATGCCATCCAATTAATGCCTAACAAATGTCAAATGCTCATTAAAAGTCCAAAGGCAGCAGAAAATTGGACAGTATTTTGAGTAGAAACGGCCGCAGCTGATCGCAGCTACTGCATAGTGATCGAGCTGAAATGAATCATGATCCATCATAAACAACTATGAGATCCGCCAATGGATTTGCGCCACGTAGCCTACGATCTTCCTTCTCAAAACAGCGGGATGAGAACCGACTCCGTTTGAACGCGTTACCGGCAGTAGCCGGTGCACCGAGGCTGGCTACCGATGTAACCGGTCAGTTCGATCCCGGCTATTCCCGCTATGTATATAACCGGCACCCCCTCGCCCCCTGTTCTCCTCTCTCTTTCTTCTCTCTCTGATTTTCAATTCTCCGAATTCACAGAGAAGCAACGCTTTAGCTTCCATTTCTCTGCCTGGTTTCAGCTTTTTTTCTCCGTTATTCAAGGTTTGTAGTCAAACTCTCTTCCTCTTCTGTCTTTTTTGCTTTAATACTGGTTTGTGTTTAGTTGGTTAATTTTATTATTGTTCCTTCCGGTTTTTGAAATTGGTTTTGGATTCGGATCTTCTATTTCAGTGTTGAACTCCACTTTTTCCTTTTCCTTTTGTCCGTTCGCTGCTCCCTCTTTCTTTTTCTTCCTTGATCTTCGTACCTCGCTTCGATTTTGATGCTTAATTTAAGTTTAGCTATGGGTTTTCTTTCTTTCTTTGAAAAATTGAGCTGCGGGGATTCAAGTTGCAGATATGATTTCAGTTTGAATTGGAAGTCTGGGAGTTTTAATGGTGTTGCTCTCTGACAGATGGAGCCATTGCTGTACTTTTATGGCTTAAGTAGGCAGAATATTGGGACTTATTAGTGGTTATTGGAAAATTGAAGTTTCAGTGTCCCATGTGTGGCACTTGTATTTATTAAGAGCTCCTTATATTTGGAAAACAGTGGTTTTTAAAGTGGCCGTTGGTGTATTTTCCTTCTAGTTTTTTCCCTCTGCTAATGCTGTTGTTTTGTCTCTTTAACCTTAGGATCTTCGGCATATTGTTGGAATATCGACATGGATCGCAGATCACAGGCACATTGCAGTCTGGTGGTTAACAGCTTGTAGATTATGTGATTATTAATTTATGACTTTAAAGAACGAGGGGTCAGTTCTTTCTCTATATTTTTGGTTGAGTACTGAACGCCTCCGTTGTTAAATTATGTGCTTTTGAGATTCACGGTGATGTGTCTATGAGTAAGTGTTGGGAAAATTTCCTATGGATTTAGTTTGAATATAATATTTTGTGGGTCATAAATATTTTATAGTAGTGAAGCCTGGCTCTAGAGAGCTACGTGGACGCCGGCCACCAAGGACTGGTGCCCTCAATGGCATCTTCTCGGGTGGCTGGAGGATTAGCACAATCTTCCTCAAGTTCTGGGATTTTTTTCCAAGGAGATGGGCAGTCAAAGGCTACTGTGAAATCCCATTTGGGCTCATCTTATGGAAACTCATCAAATTCAATTCCAGGAACTGGCCATTCAAATTTGGGTCCAGTTTCTGGGGACACGAATAATGGAGTGTTAAATAGTGTGGCAAACTCGGGACCAAGTGTTGGGGCAAGTTCACTAGTTACAGATGCAAACTCTGGACTTTCAGGTGGGCCTCACTTGCAGAGAAGTCCGAGCATGAATGCAGAATCATACATGCGATTACCCACATCGCCTTTGTCTTTTACATCAAATAACGTAAGTATCTCTGGTGTATCACTCATTGATGCATCTTCTGTAGTGCAGCACAATTCTCAGCAGGATCATAATACCCCACAATTGCCACAGACCCAGCCGCAGGCCCGACAAGTTGCTCCAGGTGATGCATCATTGTCAAATTCACAAACCGTCCAAGCTTCACTCCCCATTGGTGCACGTGTCTCTGGATCTGTCATGACAGATCCCAACATTTATTCTCAGTCACAGAAGAAACCACGCTTGGAGATTAAGCAGGGCGAATTTTTGCAACAGCAGGTGCTACAACAGCTACTGCAGAGACATGATTCCGTGCAGATGCAAGGTCGTAGTCCGCAGATACAAGCATTACTTCAGCAACAGAGACTGCGGCAGCAACAACAAATTTTCCAGTCTTTGCCTCATTTGCAGAGAGCTCACTTGCAGCAGCAGCAGCAGATACAGTTGAGACAGCAACTTCAACAACAGGCAATACAACCAGTAACTGCTATGAAGCGGCCTCATGATGGTGGTGTATGTGCTCGGCGGCTAATGCAGTACCTATATCATCAGCGTCAAAGGCCTGCCGTGAGTTTGTCCTCTGTCTTCTCCTCTTTGTTTCTTGGGGTTATCATCTGCATATTTAGGAACAAATTTTAATTTATAAATTTATGTTTAATTTTATCCATTCCTGGTAAATATTTTCCGTTCTATTCCACATTCTCTCTTTTATAAGCACCGTTTTTTAGCCTATTCACTATTAGTTTCAATACTTCTGATAGGATAATAGTATTGCCTATTGGAGGAAGTTCGTGACAGAATATTATTCCCCTCGTGCAAAGAAGAGATGGTGTTTGTCATTGTATGACAATGTTGGTCATCATGCACTTGGTGTTTTCCCTCAAGCAGCTATGGTCAGTTTTGTCTTACCTTGGTATTATTGTGGCTTTTTATCTGTAGTGTTTGACTTTTCTACACATTATTAACTCCAATACTAATGGTGACATTTAGAATTTGATTAATCTCTTAATGAAAAGAATCTTACGTGACGTGTAAAATTGATCAGTATGTAAGCTGATAGAATAATATCTGCAATTTTTATTTTGTTATTCCAACTAGATAGTCGTGATATTTTTAGCTTCACCGACTCAGTTTCCTTGTGATTTATATTTCAGGACGCATGGCAGTGTGACATTTGTGGTTCAAAATCTGGAAGGGGATTTGGTACGATACTGATAACCTCTTTATAGTGGTTTCAGATAATTGAGTTCTCCAAAGTAATGGCTTGAAATGTGTAAATTCTGTTGGAAACTAATGAGGCTGCTTTAGTGTTTTAACTGATTAATTTGAAAGGATTTCATTGATATCTTTATTGAAACTAAAAAGGAAGTAATTGTCCTAGTTGTCTCAATCGATCTATTCTGATTCATGTCTTTTCCCCACCACCCCCTAGGAAATTTTAGTTGCAGGGTTTACTTGATTTTTTGTCTCTTAATAGCATCACTTGTTCCAAGTTTGTTTTTGGAGGTTCATTCTCTAGTAGTGTTGGAGGTGGACATGGTGAATAACCGACCCAGTTTGAAACTGTCTCATCTTAACACCCACATATTGGAGGGTTATCAGTTATGTAATGGAAATGACAGGAGATTACCATGCATAATTGGTCCTACATCCGCGAGTTATATGGGAACATAAGCAAGGTGATTGTAGTCTGCAGATAAGCTATCTTTAGTATAGCTGCGGGGTTCTTTTCTACTAATTTATAGTAGAAGTAATTACATAGAACTCACTTTTATTTATTCACAATGGAAGGGTACATGGCTTGGGAATGATTGGAAAGGGAAGCTCTCCTTTTTCTCCCAAGTTCTTACTCACTAAGAGACATGGAAAACTTTGAGACCTGGCTAACTCAACTATGTACTACTCATGCTCACATCTTCTTTGCTTCCATAGTTTGTTGCAAAAGATAGTTACAAATGGCCCTTCCCCTTTAACTCTCTTTTTGTGATATATGTGAATAACTGATGGTCTATCGCTTTCCCAAAGAGCCATCTTGTTTTCAAGGTGAAAATTAGGGAATGAAGTATTTGTAGAATGAGCCGATTTTCGTGTACCATTAGTTGTAGTTGCATCCTCCCATCAAATGAAAACCTCCAAGTCAGAAGAATCCTCTTCCAAATGTTGCAAGCTTGATACATAACTGTCTGCACCCATACAACGATTTCAATTAGGACAATTTCAGAATACACTGATAGTAACAATCGGATGTCATGATGTTTACCACTAGCTTTGTCATTTATTGTTAAGCATGATGTTGATAAGATTTTAACTCTGCTGACATGGTATCCTTGTCCTTAAGTTTCCGATATTAGTGAAAATTGAAATGGGGACATATCTAGAGAATAAGGTTAGATAGGACGTTAAATTATGGTGAAGACTTGATGGCAATATGGTAGGAAGTGTTGTAGTTGAATTTTGCCTCGTCTATTTCTGCGAGCTTGTCATAATGTAGCAGCCATTGTTAACCACTCTTGTCTGCCATTTGAACAATTCCTCCCAAAGAAACGGTGCAAAATGGATCCCTATTAAGAAATAGTACTTTGTGGGATACTGTATAGGTATTCAACCTCCTTAAGAAAAATGCAGCAATGACAGGTGTTGAGAGTGGATGCGGCATTGGGATTAAGTGTGCATACTTGGATAACTAGTCCATCAAATCATACCCTTCAGACTTAAGGCAACCTTTCTACGTGCTCCATCCAAACATCGTCCCAAATGTGGTTAAGTATTGGTAAAGGTTGAAAAACCAACAAGTGCCAAAGCTAAACACTTAGCTTGCCAATAGATAATACATTCACTAACAAATAGTTTTACTCTCACCCTCGCACTTTTCCCATGCATTTTTTGCCGACCTTTCTTAAGGTTTCAAAACACTATGTTTGGCCATAGTAAAGGCATGGAACTTCTTCTACTTACAAAACTGGGGTGAATTTCAAGACGAAGACAAGTTTACCTTTGTAGTATTGTAGCTCCGTAAAGATAATCAAACAAGAGTTTCTTCACCACGTACAATGGTCTGTTTAATGCTCATAATTCCTTGCTTGTAGCCATTTGTTTCGCAATCAAAGTTGGATTCAGTCCTAGTGATATTTCTTAACTCAAGTGAAGTAGATATACTCTACCTCTGCTGTACTCTGCGCATCAATGACTCGCAAGATTCTCTTTCTTGTCCTTCTTTCAGCTTTTCTTTGCATCACTTCTTCCGCTCGCAAGCTCACTACTACCTCTTTTCAAGATGAGAAATTCTTCCGCCATCCCAAATTTGGAGGTGGTGGAGGGCTAGGTGGTGGTTTTGGTGGAGGATTAAGATTTGGCAGCGATGCTGGCGGGTGGTTGTCGTGGTGGTGCTGGAGGTGGGTTTGGAGGAGGTGGCGGACTAGGAGGAGGTGGTGGTATTGGAGGCGGAGTTGGTGGCAGGTTTGGACTTTGGAGGAGGGTTCGGTGTAGGAGACGACTTGGTGGTAGAGGTGTAGCTGGGGCGTGGTGGCAGCGGCGGACTTGGGATGGTGGTAGAGGTGTAGCTGGGGTGTGGTGGCAGCGGCAGACTTGGGATGGCGGTAGAGGTGTAGCTGGGGTGTGGTGGCAGCGGCGGACTTGGGATGGCGGTAGGTTCAGTGGAGGCTGTGCCAAAGGTGGATTTGAAGTTGGACTTCCTTGAGAAATAAAATTTTACGACAAAGGAAAAACAATGACCTCTAAGCTTTTATGTTTCTTCCATGCAATGTGCTATGTTGTTGAAAAAGGTTAATTTAAAAGAACAAAAATCTCTAGCGAAGTGGACATACGCAATAGGATAAAATACTTTGTTTTCCAAATAGAAGAATACATTTTAAAAAACTGAATAGAACTGGACCAAATTAAAGCCGTACATATATTGTACATTATAACCTAAGTGAACCAGATGAAAGAGGTCAGACGTCTTTTTTTTTTTTTGGAGTACGAAAGAGGTCAAAAGTCTTGCAGTTAAGTGACATGAATTAAACTAATTGTTTTGATAAGATCAACCTCCAAATTTGATCAAACTGAACTAACTTCTTCCCTGTATGATATCAGTGAAGGCCTACGTTTCTTATCCCAAAAAAAATTGAAGGCCTACATGACGATCCTTGAAAGATTAAGGGAATGGTGGCTTTGCTAACCTCTATGGAAGTTTTTGAGGGCATATTTCTGAGTCTTACGGGGTATTACTGTTGATTTGTGGTTGAATATGGGATAATTGGAAAACTTCTAATGAAGTAACTTGAGAGATTATTTGATTGGAGAATGAATGATGTGTTAGGTGCTCCTGTCCTGTCCTTACCAGTTCTCGCCATACTAAGAAAGGCAGAAAAGTGGTCCCAAAAATTGTGGCTAATACAACATGATGGATTAAGGATTTTTTTTTGTAGCATGGTTGGGAGCTCTATTCAAGTGAACAAGACAGACAAATGGTTGACTTTGAATATATATTGTTGTTGGGGCTATTCACCCACATAAGCATTTCTATGTTAGAGCTGCTTAAAACTTTGCTTATGCCTAGGAGAGTGAACACAAGTTTTACAAATGTTTGGCTGTGGATGATCTAGTATATTTGAAACATGCCCGTGGTTAGTTTGTTGTATCTAGATGATCTCAAAAAAAACCCTGGCTATTTTGGACTGTCTTAGGTTTGTGGCTTTTAAATAGCCATTACCTCTCATCCATCTCATGTTTCATGTTTAACAACTTCGGTTGGTAATGGGTTCTACATATTTTTGTACTTTACCATTTGGCTGGGACATCAAATGTGGACAAGTTCGAAGAACTAAAGGTCTTTGTGGTGGTGTGGTCTGCCAGAGTAGGAAGCGAAATGGGAGTCCTCTTCTGGAAAGGATTGTTTAGGAAGTTGGTTGGTTAGTTTTGGAAGTTAGTTTGGGAGAATTGGCGTATTGAAATTAACTTTTCATATAAGTCAGCTATGGTTGTTGCAGGTTTGGATGTGGAGATTGTAAAGTTTTTCATGTCATTCGGTTTGTACTCTATGTTAGCAATAAAAATTTCCTTGGTTTCTTAGATGCTTTATAGAATCAAAGGCCTGGTAATTGTGCAACACCATGCTCGGTTGTAATTTTATTTTTTGTTAAGTATTATGATTTGAGTTAACATATTGACATATAGTCAAAGTCGTCTGGTCCCAATTTTTACATTGAAGTTAAGTCTTCTATTTCACATTTCTACTTCCTCTTTACTGCAGTCTAAAGCATTATATAATCCATTTCATGTGATGGTTTCAGAGGCTTCCTTTGAAGTGCTTCCTAGACTTAATGAGATCAAATTTGGCAGTGGTGTCATCGATGAACTATTATTTTTGGATTCGCCACGGGAATGGAGATTTCCTTCTGGAATTATGATGTTAGAGTATGAAAAAGTAGTACAAGAGAGTGTATATGAGCAACTTCGTGTTGTTCGGGAGGGTCAGCTTCGTATCATATTTACACATGAATTGAAGGTCACCAGAATGATTATGCAAATTGATTTCTAAATCTATCTGAGAATATACTCGTCGTACTAATAGTCAGGCAATTGGATTCTACTTCAGATATTGGCATGGGAGTTTTGTGCAAGACGCCATGAAGAACTTCTTCCTCGTAGGCTGGTTGCCCCTCAGGTATTTTTGTACTTTCTTTTTTGTATCTTAATATAGAACAAATATTTGCTAATGATATTTTGGTACCGACTGCCTTTTTCCTGTTCATGTGTGAAAGAAGGGTGTTAAGGGATACTTGGAACAAAGTTAATATATAAATGGAACCGCACTGGAAATGATGATTTCTACTTCAAATAGGCTTGCATATTGGAATTGAGATATTTCTGGATGCCAATTCTTCCAATTTATGTTTTTTGTCATTTTACCGTTTTTATTATTTTATAATTTGAATTTTACTTTCTTGGTTACCTGTGATCCTTAAACCATATTCTTAGAAGTCAGCAATCAGCATTCCGTGTTGGCTTTCTGATTTTTCTTTAGATGTGACATCCAATTGATAAATGTTTAATTACAGGTGAATCAGTTGGTCCAGGTGGCACAGAAATGCCAGAACACGATTGCTGAAGGTGGATCTGATGGGGCTTCTCAGCAGGATCTACAAACAAATAGCAAAATGTAAGTTTATCAAGCACAGATAGTGAAGTCCATCTTCTTGAATCAAATTTGCCTATTTCCCACTTTTATCTGAAAATGATTAACTATTTAAATCATTTTGGTTCTTGATAGTGCAAGTCTAGTGGCCTTGAAGACACTCTATCATTCGGGATATGTTGTATGGAAGTAGAAAATGCATAGCAAAGTTTGTGATGCTCTTCTTATAACGTCTTTTGATTAATTGAAATGCCACATACAGGTGGTTCAGGTGTCTTTATTTGAGAGTGAGATGATGAGTGGCAGGAGAATATTCATATAAATTCTCCCTTTGGCGTATACAATTATCACTCTCCATTGGACATTGCAGACTGGCATTTATACAAAGTTGGCATATTGACTCGATGGAATGGGTCCAAAATAGTCGGTTTTCTTTTTATAATTTTCATTTGTCGTAGGGGCCTCTTGTTTTGTAAAATTTCTATAGCAATTGAACCATTTCATATTTTAGAATGAAAACATACAACTTTGGTAAATCTAGAGGAAAATTTTCACTAGATGGAGAAGATAAGAATTGCATGAGGGAAGAGTCTCTTCTCCAGCCACTGGAGTTCCCTGTCAGGAAATTCAGATAAATCCGCCATACATAACTTTTTTTCCTTTATTGTTTGCGCCTAATCAACCTTTTTTTTTTTGGCATCTTATACGATCTCTCTCCTATATCAGGGTTTTGTTATACTTCGAATCCATACAGCTAAGGTTACTTAGCTACCTTATTCGATTTATCACTTTCTCTGGTTTGACAAAAATACGAGTTGAAGTGGAGAGATTTGAGCTCATAGTTGAGACTTTGAACCACATGGGATTTTGTTAGTTAGGCTGTCATTAGTGGAATATTTTATTTCTCCTGTTTGTCAACCAAATATCGTAAATACCATGTAGGAATGTTTGAGGATTAATATCAAGTAGAAGACCTGTGTGCTACAAAAATGTTGGCTGATTGCACATTCTTTGTTCTTCAAACTGATAGAGCACCTTTATCTATTCTAATGCATTGGAATTCAGCTAATGCAATCCCTTTCTTTTAGGGTTTTGACAGCTGGACAGCAGCTTGCAAAGAGTCTGGAGTTGCATTCACTGAATGATTTAGGATTCTCTAAAAGATACGTTAGATGCTTGCAGGTGCACTGTCACGTACTTTTACAAAAGAGTTTCTGTTCTAAACTTTTTGCTTTGTGTTTTTCAATATTTATTTAGTTCTAAAGTGTGTGTATATATATATATCTTTTGCATCTAAGTACAGATATCGGAGGTTGTCAATAGCATGAAAGATCTCATTGATTTCTGTAGGGAGCAGAAAACCGGGCCAGTTGGTACGCCTCATTCTTCCCAATAATTCTCCACAATAAATTCTTGATGAATAAGCATTTTATAAACCTTGCAACTTCTGTTCTTGTTAGTGATTAGTTAACCCAATGACTTCTGAGACCCTATTTTTTCTGGGTGCTTTATTTATTTTTTTAGTTTCATAGCTATGAATCTTATTATAAAGATTTTCACAGATGGTCTGAAGAGTTATCCTCAGCACGCCACAGCCAAGCTGCAGATGCAAAAGATGCAAGAGATTGAGCAGGTAGCTACTGCTCAGGGTCTGCCCACGGACCGTAACAATTTCAGTAGAATGGTCGCCCTGCATCCTGGACTGAACAACCAAATGAATAGCCAAAATCAACTAGTCGGCAGAGGGACGTTGAGCGGTTCGGCACAAGCTGCTTTGGCATTGTCAAGCTACCAGAATCTGCTGTTGAGACAGAACTCAATGAATTCGACAAGCTCAAACCCACACCAGCAGGAGACATCATCATTCAATAATTCAAACCAGAGTCCATCGTCAAGCTTCCATGGGACTGCTCCCTTAACATCTGGACCGATGCAGAACTTGCCCGGTAGCGGTCTTTCAAGTCCTCGTCTACCTCCTCAACAATCTAAGCAAGCACAACAACTGCATCAGCGCCCCAATGCTAACAACTTACTCACACAAAACCATCTTCAGAATGCCCAAGGTAACGGTAACGGTAATCAGGCCATGCAACATCAGATGATCCAGCAACTACTCCAGATGTCTAATAACAGTGGGGCAGGGCAGCAGCAACCACTTGCTGGATCGAACACAAACGGAAGCATGGCCGGGACTTTCACGGGTTTCGGGGGCAGCTCATCTGTGGCGGCTGCTGGCACAGCCAATGCATCTGGTAGTAACACGCCTGCCCCAAGCCGGAGTAACAGTTTCAAAAGCGGCGACGTATCAGCGGGTGGTCGTAGCAGCGGAGGGTTCAACCAAAATCTTCACCCGGAGGAGGATATACTCCAGGACATAGCCCATGATTTTACAGAAAATGGGTTTTTTAACAGTGACCTTGATGACAATATGTGCTTCAACTGGAAAAGTTATAACTAACATAAATAGGCCTAACAATTGGCTCCCACCCTTGGCCTTGGGTTAAGTGGAGAACATATATATTTTGTACAGAGGATATTTGGGATACATATTTTCTTCTGATCTCTCATTTTTATCTATTTTTATTTTTATTTTTTTGGAATGTGGTATTTGGCCTGCCCTGGGAACGTCATGCTTATTGGTATAATTCATTGGGTTTTTAGAGGTCCTCCTGAATGGTATTGGTATTTCTATATTGGTTTCCAAGTGTTCAAAACTGTAATTTCTGTGTATGAAGACTTAAACAGCAGCTTCATAGTTTCATTGTTATATGATGTTATCAAAATAACTTACATGCTGGGATTTTTCCTGTGCTTACCTTATACACTCAGTTAATGAATATGCTTAATCTTTATACTGCTTTGAAGTTATTTCGGTGATTTTTGACACTGGCTAGAATCACTAAAATCACCGCTAGAATCACTTTTACTGATATTAAATTACTTCTATTTTGTCAAAGCGAGTATAGCTCAGTGATAATTGGCATATACTTCCAACTATAAGGTTGTGAGTTCGAATCCTCCCAACATGTATTAAAGAAAAAAAAATTACTCTCTATTTTAAAATGAGCATATTTGATAATGATTCATGAGTTCAATTTTTTGGTAAAAAATAAAAAAAAATTGATAAGAAATTAATTTTTAGAATGGTTATGTTTCAATTTTAGAATTGTCTTTCTATTACACTTTTTGATCCTTGAGGTTTGAAGTTGGTATTTATGTGGTCCCTAAAGTTTCAAAATAGACACTTTTTGGTCCCTAAAGTTTGGAAGCTGTTCTAAAAATTTAAATGATGTGGCCATTTATATGAATTGTTTAATTGGATTTTTTAAAACAAATATTATTAATTTAAAATCACTGTTGAAATCAAACATTAACAATTCAAAATCACTTAGGAAAAAATGTGTAACTAGACATTAAAATAATCATATAAAAATCACTTTCACAGAAACACTTGTCATCAAATCTCTTTTACTAAATAACTCGTTGATTCTTATTATGGACTAAAGGTTCCTACTCACAGTGCTCTTTCTTTGCTCTGTGATTTAGAAACATTGGTGTTAGATTCTTTTCGTCCATACCATTCCTCTTATTCATCTCATTATGTTAAACAAAATCTCTGCTAAAAGTAGAAGTAATAGACTAATCACTAATACGTACAAATAGCAGACGAGGGAGACAATTAGAGATGAAATGGAGAGAGAAGAATAGATAAGAGAAGTCAATATGAACACAGCTTAGTGGTAATTGACATATACTCCTCTTAAGATTGGAGGTTCGATTTTCAATATCCCTAAATTGTTGTACTACGACAAGAACGGATAAAGAAGAGCAATTTTTGTGCATTTGTCATTAAAGTTGCCACAAGCAAATAAATATATGCGCTTATAAAATAACAAAAAATTCATGTCATTAAAGTCGCATCAACCTAGAAAATGTAAACATTAAAGGTTTGTTTCATTACTATAATAATAATGATAAATAAATGTCAAAATAAGGGGTAATTAGTATGTATCTTCAACCAAGAAGTTGTGAGTTGATTCTATAGTAGTGAATATTTCCATACGACTCCCTCCATCATTTTTATTTATACTTTCTAGGAAATGCCTTTTTATCTCTTTTTTTTTCTTTCATTTCCCTGTCTTCTATCATTTTTATTTAAATATTTTTACAATAACTTCACATTTCTCTCTACATCTTGGTTCATTTGTAGATTTTTTCCTATTAGTTTCTTTTCGTTTGAAGGATATTTTTAGTTCAAAGTGTCGTTATTGGTATTTTCTTTTTACTTAGAAATTTATTTTCAAATGATTAAATCATTATTTTTTCTTATTATAATTTGATTGGATTGGTTGACCATTTTGATATGTTTATTTTATTGTTAACTTGTTTTATCCTATTGATCAATATTATACAATATTATAATTAGATTTCATTTGTTACCCATTTATATATATTCTTTTTATTTGTAACTTTATTTTAAAATAATTAAATATTATTTTGTTTAATTTAAAATATTATAATTAAATTATATTTGTTATCTATGTGCATTAAGAAATCATAAGCATCATTATATAAAAACAAAAGCTTAAAAATGAGATATTTAACAAAACTAAATTTCCAAATAAAAATGTAGGATCCACTTTATTTATTGAAGGTATTAAATAAGAATAGTGGATAGAGAATGAGATCTGGACCCTTTTTCATTTTAAAATCACTGGAGTCCACTTTATTTTATTTTTAAAATAAGATTTCACATTAACACATGACATAATGTGAATCAGAGTAGTATGGAAATCTTCCCGAAAATTTTCCCTAGCAGGACAATTTAAATATTTTACACCCTTGGTTGGCCCTACTAGATCACCAACCTTTAGGCTTACCTAAGCACTCGCTTCACCGTGCCAAATTCACTGCGGTCGGTTTGCGTTTACTACCATCATGCACTTTCTTCGTCCGTATCATCCTCAACAAGCATGTCTCCTCCAAGTAGTGTATTCAAGACCATTTGCTCCCAATCCTGCATGCCTCTCCCGATCAATCTAGAACCACTAGTACCGCCATGGGAATGACCTATCTCTTCATTACACGATGAGCATGCATGATGCGATTCGGGGAAATACTTCAAAACGCACTTTCCCGAGTGGTCAAGTATATCCACATCATATCCGGGTAAGAGTGGCCGTCCAACGGCTTGAACATGGGAGACACTGGATCATTCATTCCATAGCAATGCAGGGTAAGATGTAGACAAAAAAGTACAAAATGAAATGTGTAAAACAGGTACTCAGCCAAATTGCACCAGCCATTGTACAATTAAATTGATTGGTATGCCATATTTGACAGATATGAAATGATCAGACTAAAACTATTTTGATCCATTTTAGAAAAAATCCAAACAAGTTTCTTATGAGCAGCCAAAGGTCTAGGAGAAAAATAGAAGATGAAAGGTCCCTCCCACACAGATGTCAATTCTACTTGTAATTTCCCTAACATCAGTTTTGGCATGATTCATCAAGTGTAAGCAAGATTCTAAGAATTTTTCTTGAAAATATCCTAGATATCTTTCCCTTTTCTACCAGCACCCTATGCTATTCATTAAGAATAATAAGAAACTTTTTATTAAAGTATTAATAAAATATTAAATTTACTGTAACCCATTTTTGAGTCAAGTGATAGTTTAACATTGTATGAGAGCACGAACTTGTATTCAAATCCCTGTTAATATCATTTACTTTTCAATTAATATTAATAACTAATTTGGAGAAAGTGTTTCTTTTTCCCTTTTTTAAAAACTAAATTGAAATTTTGGAGAAGTTTGAAGTATTAATAAAAGGTTAAATCTCATGTATCCCATCAGCCTAAGTTTTTTGAGTTCATGGACGCATGGGTAATTTAGCACTTTCTATATGGCATACTACATTTTTGCATCATATATATTTAAGAAAAATTTAACCTATCAACAATTGATAATAAAGGACCCTGTCACGACAAAGGAAAAACGAATTTTGGTGGTTAGAAGGAACTAACCATAAGTAATATAATCCATCTGTTTCTTGTTTCTGTACTCTGCCCAAGAGTTCAACTTGCAGAATTCCACCAACACAGAAAACAGGCTCTGGAAGCTTAAATATTTGCAGCGTGTTTTCCTGTTATCATTAAATACGTGAGAAAGTTGTAAGGAAAAAATGTAGCAAAGAATATTGCCATGAGAATAATTCCAAGTCAATTCATCATCCAAAAACTATGCCGAAGTAATACATAGATTAACTTGTGAAAGAGAATTTCTCAGTACTTGGATGTTTAAACCAAGGAATGAGCATGCTTCATCAATTGTACGGTAAACAAATGGAATTAAGATGCGCCATGAAAGCCAATTTGCCACACATGATACAACAGAACTCTCCTTCACTCTATGATGATCAAATGTGGAATAAATGTAATTAAACTTACTTGAGCCATTGGAAATTCTGGCGAGACGTAAGTCCAGATAAAATTATCACTTTCTGAATCACTTGAAATGTTTGTACTCGAGTTTAAAGAAGATTCTCGATGGCCCATTTTAAATCGAACGGCCCTTGATGAATATATGGGGAAGCCATACTGAAAATATGCTGATGCAGACATGATTAATCAGTCAGGTAAGAGATGTTCAAGTTCAAATCTAAACGTGTAACGTATTATTCACAGAGTAGAGTTGGGTAACCTTGGAATGGTTGAATATGAATTTCAGAAACAACACATAGGTTGGAGACAAACTCATAAGTTAATGTCTCAGGAGCATTAGCATCTTTTGATCCTAAACTGGACCAATATGATGCCCGATGTTGAATCCTATCACCAGCTTTCAATGTGTTATCGATACTTTCTTCAGGATAATTATCAGTGGAGGATGCACTAATGGCTACTGAAATGCAATCTTTTCTCATGATATGGTAAAGACTTTTAGCTAGCAGCAAATAGATTCTATGGACCCTCTTAAGGGATTCCCATTTCGTGACATTGCTTGACCCGAATGTTGGAGTATCAATCATGCCCTTCACTTCAATAAAATGGGGAGCACCAGATAACTCAGGAAACAATCTCAAGCAGAGTTGCTTACTGAGGCTATTCTCAACCACTGCAGAATGTTAACAGAAGATTCAGAAACAAGAAAGAAAACATTGAAGCCGAACAAATCTTTCGTATCTAAGACTGAATGCTACGGGCTCTATGAATACAATTCTATTTCCCATAGTTTGATAGTCAGATGCAATAAATGCATGAAGGAGAGTCCCATTATATACATATGTGCGGCCACAAAGGTTAATATATAATGCGGAAAATATTGCTCCGTACTACTATCTAATTGCTTAAGATCAGAGAGGACTATCTTTTGATTGCTGGAACCATGAAGATAATATTCTCTAGATCCATAGAATATTTTCAAGACTTTATGTCCCAACACCTACCACTGCTTTTAACCATATGGTCAAGTAATATCAACTTTTAGGACTTCTTAGGAAAATTTCTCCGTAGTAAGATGACAAATATCCAAGAAATGTGCGTCATATCACAACCATTGTTGATACAAAAGAAAACCAGGTGCCTAGATACAACATGTCGTTAAATATAGCTCCATTGTCTCCTAAACAACAACATTATTCCCGATTCATCGTGCAAAGAAAATCTGTTGTACATATAATAAACATGCTAATAGAATGAAAAAGCGGACCGGATCTACTTGAAAGCATTCTCTGGAGAAACATAGTGTCAACCAAAACATCGAGTCACAACATCATAACTCAGAATTCGAACCAACAACAATCCATTCAACACATTACAAGTGCTTACCAAACTGACGCCAAGAACTTGTGACTAAGCAAACCCGATGAAGGTCAGATGGATCATCCAAATGGGTAAGAATCTTGATGGATAAATCATCGCCAAGCCATTGTAAGAAATTCCAGGTACTATCCATTTCACCCACGGTAAACTATGCGGAAGCCTTAAACCAACCAAACTGCAAACTCAATGAGCCAAAATAATGGGAATAAAACCCATTACATTAATAAGATCAATACACAAATTAAAACATCCCACACGCAAAAATTAAAAAAAAAAATGTCACCTTCTATAAAACACCAAATAGAAGAGATGGGTATTCCGAATTAAGAATGTGGAAGAATAAAAACCTTCAATTCTGGAAAATTGTAAATCAAACACAATACAGAATACAATCAGCTTCAGGAAGAATTAAAAAAAAAAAAATTAACGTCTTCAAAACAACCTGACGAAGGAATAGAAAATTCCATTGGGTGTTGGAATCAAGAAATCGATCACTAAAGAAACAGGCGAGGAAGAAGGAAAGTAATGCACCTTTTCTTCGAACGCAAGAGAGTTAAAGGAAAGGGGAATCAAACCCTAAGAGAGGAAGAAGAGAATGACGATCTGAGTTACGGTTGGAAATGGCAGGACGAAGCTTATAATTATATAATAATTATTTTGGTTAAAGGAAAGAAACGCATTTATCCAGAAAAGGAAAGAAAAATTAAAGTTGAAACTTTATTATTATTTTTTTAATACCTATCCAATTGAATTCACTGTCCCTCCATTTGAGATATAGATTTATACTTAATTTGATAAATTAAATCAATGTCAGAAACTTAAAAATAAATAAATAGACATGGTAAATAGATTTCATAAAAGGCTACCTTCTATTTTAAAACTTTTTTCAATTTAGTTGTTATTGGTTAAAAAGTTTCAATAATTTAGTCTCACGTTGGTGAATGTTAAAATTTTCTAATAACAAAGGACTCGTTGCAAATGAAGCAGCAAACAAATAATAATAATAATACAAAAAGTAACAACCACTTTTCAATTCTGTAAAATTAGCAAAATTTAGAAGTCTAGTCCATGCAGAAAAAAGTAAAAGTCTAATATGCCTTCGATGAACATGAAACCTAATCAATGATATATGTATTTGATTTTTCTTTTTCTAGTACAACATGTGCGGTAGGGGATCAAACTTTCAATATTTTGATTGGAGATATATGTCAATTATCGCGGATCTATACTCACTTTAGAGATATATATACTTGATTTGATATACCATTAATGTACATGATTATGAGTGGTACGTAATATGCCAATGATATATTACTTCTTGGTTAAAATACATATTTCGTTCCTAAACTTTCAGCAAAGTAACGATTTAGTCCTTGAACTTTCAAAAGTAAAAATTTAGTCTATGTACTTTAAAATTAGTTACAATTTAGTTCCTACCGCTAAAAATTAGGTTAATTTTAACAGAAGTGTGACGTGACAAATCCATGTATACAAATAAGATGCCCAGCTGTACGAGTCGATTCAATATCGGGTTGGTTTAAACTTAAACCGGGTTAGAATTAAAAAAAACAATAATTATATAAAAAAAATACCTCCCCCACCCGGACCCTCTGAAGCCTCCCACCACCGAAGCTGCCGTCTGGGTCGTGCAAGCGCACTCCACTGCAGACGCCGTGGTCTTCGGCACCGCCTCCATCTCCGGCGGCGTCACACCATGCACGGACGACCAGTGCAACTTTCGTTTCCCCATCGCCGCCGGAGAGCCCCTGCTTCGTGGGTCAATATTATTAAAAAAAAAAATAGGTATCAAAACCAAAAGAAAAGCTCCTCCCAGTATCTAATCTAATGTCCAACCAAATAGAAAAGATGAGAAATAAGAAATCAAAGAAAAAGAAGACAAAGCAGTCCAGCCAGGGAAGAAGAATGATCCAACTTTCCATTAAAGAAAATCTCGAATTAGACTAAAAAAAGGGGGAAAAAACCAGATGGGCCGTGGGCGTGCGATGTTGAATTAATATAATAGTTCGGCGGAAGAAAAATGAAATTGGGGGATCGATTGAGGGAAGAAATTATTATCATGGAATGAGTTGCTTTAGAAGAAATTATTAAACTGGGATGGAAAATTGGGAATCCATAAAGACGATGAACTAGGTTTTGATTGAATTTTGGAAGAGGTAGAGATACCTCATCCGACAGCAGCGGAAAATCAGAGCTGTAGTTGTCGTCGGTGCATGGTGTGGCAGAGATGGAGGCGGTGGAGTGGGCTTGGATGACTCAAATGGCAGCTTCGATGGTGGGAGACTTGAGAGGGTCCAGGTGGGAGAGGTCGTCTTTTTTATATAATTATTGTTTTTTTTTAATTCTAAACTGGTTTAAACCAACCCGATATTGAACCGACTGGTATAGTTGGCCATTTTATTTGTACAGGACTAAATCGTTACTTTTGAAAGTTCAAGGACTAAATCGTTACTTTGTTGAAAGTTTAGAGACCAAATATGTATTTTAACCTACTTCTTTTTACTGTGTTAAATTTCTTTAATGAATTTATTGAATTGTGTTGTATTATTTACAAATTTTAGATGAGATGTTTGTTGTTTATAACCTAGATATTAATTTTCTATACTTGATATGAATGTTGATGTATCATGATATATTCGATTTGTTATATTACTAAAGGAATCAATAACATTGATATCTTGATTATGAGTGCCGACGATATATCAATAATATACATGATATGAATGCTGATATATTTGATATATATAACTGATTTGATATACTCTTTACCTATTTGAAAATGTAGAAGGTTAAAATTAGAATAACTAAAAAACTAAAAATCAGATTTCAAATACAATGTGGGGTGGGATTTGAACTCATGACTTTTTAGTTAGAGATAGGTGTCTTAACCACTTGAGCTATGCTTGATTTGACATTGAATCTTCGATATTAAAAAAGGTAATTGGTACCTTATCTATGAGGTTATGCTCGGTTTTACCACAAAGACGGCTACAAATCACATGTTTTATGTTGATACAATTCTTTATTTACATGTTTGTTTGTATAGGATTAATTATTTGATTGGTCACTTTTCTATTATATATTTTTTTCATACGGCCATTATAGAATTTGGCTCAATCCTTCATTTCCTAATTTTAATTTTTATTTTTCAGTCATGGAAACTTTATTTGATAAAACATCGTTGTTAGAACCATTTTGGCTCTTTTCTTCTGTTCTTCCATTTCTATTTACAAGTCCTTAGGCCAAAATATGGTTGTTGAAAATCGTTAGGCTCTATTCTTTATTTTGAATTCTGATGTGAATCAACTCAATGTTTAACAAATTTAATTATAATGTACCTAATTCACATCATATTTATTATCACATTCATTGAAAAAATCTTTAAAAAATGAAGTCGATAATTATAATATAGAAGTGCATGATTCACGAAAATAAATAGAATTGAACCATCTCGAATATAGTTGCTAAAATTCTTGTATTTCAAGGTGAGTTGGTTGGGGGCTCAACTGAATTGACCCTCGAGAGTTATTTTAAATATATCAAATGATATTTTGGTAAATAAAAATGATGAGGTTTTACTTTGATGAACCCAGAGTTTCTTCACCTTTTTATACTTTAGCAACCACAACCGTTATACCACTATCTACTTTGTTTTTGCCCAGATCTGATCGCTTCCAGGGATTCCTAAGAATCAGATGCAAGAGAGATCTGCAAAATAAGAGTGAGCACTCTAACGCTCAAATTAGTAGAGGTCTGATCTCTATTTCTGTGTAGAGTTTGCAATTAGATTCGCTACTTTATGGTAGGATTACCTCTGGTATTTATAGGTGTCGAGTAGTTGAGACAATTGTGTTCAGTCATTCACGTCGCATGTTCCGTAAAGAACGGTTGGAATCTAACAGTAGTAGTGAGTGGGCAGTTGTAGGGCGGTTTTCCCTAGTTCGGTTGTTCTCAACCTTTGGTTCGTCGATAGGTCAGCTCTTAAGATCAAGCCATTGGTCAACATTTTGTGTTCCAAGATCTCTTAATTCATATTACTCATGAGACTCCTTGGGACACGTGGTATGCCAAAATGTCAAAAACTTGTTGCGTTCTAACAACTTCAGTGCAAGATATATAGAAAAGTTGCAAGTGATAAAAGGATTGTCCCTACAATGATTGTGCAATCAAAATGCTCTAATTGTCACTAGAAAAGTGGGTAGCCAAACAAATATATATACTTTGTTTTTTAAAACTAAATACAAATAATCGAAAAACGCATTATCTAGTAGAAATAAAACGAATTATCAATCCAGAAAAGAGTTAGAATTGGTATCTTCCCAAACTACTCGATTTTACATTATTAATCAAACTCTCCCACGCTTAAACAATCAATTCAAGTTAAATTAACATCGACTCTACTTAATGAGCATAAAAACATAGTTACAACATAATGGAAAAGTTCGTTGCTTAACTAAACCTTTACGGGGCTTAGCTACGATCCATGGTAAACTGAAATAATACAAAGTTCTACTGAATTAAAAAACATTGAAAAGAAAATGAAAAGCAAGAGTTCCTCAAATTCAACACAAACAGACAAACATAAACTACACAAGAATATGAATATCCCTTTTTCAATTCCTTCTTCTTTACACCAAAATCTCATAAGAAAAAGTCCACAATCCTTGGTAAACAAAAATTGTACAAAAAACAACAAATCTCAGCTAAAAACTATATACAAAACAGAGATCTGCACAAAAAAATAAAATGAAAAAATGGAAGGAAAAGAAATCCCCCTAATAAAGCGACTTAAACTCAGAAGGACAAATGAAGACAGAATCAACAGAGAGGCCACCTTTGGTATGAGTACAGTCAATCTGAAGCATGGAAAAATTTATGTGGGCAGTAAAATTCGGGGCTTCCACACCAAAATCACCCACGTGGTAAAAAACCCAGCTCCCGGATTGCTGGAGATAGCACTCCGACGTGGCCTTGTGGCCACTCGAGACCGACAGCTGGAAGCTGACTGGCTTCAGGTCCCACCCGTGGACATGTTCCATGTCAGCGGTTCGTCTTCCAAACTTGTTGGGAGAAGGCTTGCCGAGGTGGAGCCGGAAATATAAGCTGTATCCTCCCGGTGGGAATTCAAACTCCACCTCTCCTCCTATTTCCACCCACCAAATTTGCTTCAGATATGCCACTGACCCAAACCTATTGGAGGTAGATTTTAAATATAATTGATTTTTTAAAATCATCGACCATATAATACCTCAATAATCAATTAAAAGTGATTTTAGACTCTTTGAAATCAATTTTTTAATTTGCAAAACATGATCAATGGACAATGAAGTGATTTTGACAATGATAAAATTGATTTCAAACACACTCCTAATTCCACACTTAATCCTCTTTTGTCATTTGTTTCAAAAATATCCTTCTTCCTCCAAAAGTTTCAATACTTACCCTTATCTTTCATAGAAATTTCAAAAATATCATTTAAGCTATAGAAATTTTAGAGTTGTTTTTTTTGTTTTTTTTGTAATTTAGCCTTTTTTTGATATATTGATGGTCCTAATTAAATTTTATAATATTCTAGTTATTTACTTGAACATTGAACTCAAACAAAAAGGAAAAAAAAAAAACTCTAGTCATTACCATTAATATTCTTATAAATTGTTGAACAAAAATCATTCGTCAACACACACATATTTTTTATTTACTTGACCAATAAAGGTCTGTATGAACAAGTATTTCAAGTTGCATATAGCAGGTTAGGTATTAAGTATTTAAATGAATTTACTTTCCATTAAATGATTAAATAAAAATTAGTAGTAATAACTACAATAGATTAAATAGAACAATGTGTCGGTGTGTCGACGATTGAGGGACTAATAGGATAGTTTTGGTAAAAATGAAATAAATAGAATTCAAGATGAAAATTAGATTTAAAACAGGTTTCAAAATAATAAAATCAAGAAAGTGGACAAAATATATTTGTCATTTAAGACCAAAATAGAAAAATGAGCAAAATTTCATCATCAAAGAGGATTTGCAAAAACAGGAAAAAAGGAAAAAAAATTCAAAGATAATTATCCACAATATTTCTTTTCAATTATATATTTTGAAAAGACAAGTCATCGGCATAATCTGGGAGGAAAAAGAGGATAAGGAAGAATTGTGATGCAAGTTGCAAAAGCAAAAAATTAAAAAAAAAATAAAAAATTCCACAGCTGCTCAGATTTGAAAAAGTCCTTATCTGTCATTATTATTCTTCTTCCCCTTCAAAATTAAATGCCCTTTCACATTAATATTGTTGATTTTTTTTTTCTAGACATTTGTGTTTAATCCAGAATAATCACTTGGAGAGAACAGGGTTTGGATCTGAGATCTGTTTAATCATGAGAAATTGATTGAAATTAATAAGTAATTAATTTGTTGATTACCTGGATTGGTGAGTAGGAATATAATTCCAATATCTTCTGTCGTGGATCCCCGTAATCTTCAAGGCCTTAGAGGAAATGGAGAGGAAAGTTTTGGCAGACCTCTTGTCCAACCAAAACTCCTGTATGAAACAAACAAAAAGAATAGTAATTAAACATCTTGCTCATTCTCTAGAGGTCGGAAGTTGAAGTTGAGAAGGATTTAGCGGATTAATTACTTTGGTTCCGGCGTCGAAGAGATTGGGGCGAGTGAGGGCGGCGAAGATGTGCTTGTTGTTGGGGAGGGAGAATTGAGGATGGAGAAGTGCACGGAGTAGCGAGGTGCAGTTAGAAGGGAGCTTGGATTCCCAGATGAAATCGGCCGATGAAGCGGCCCGAAACGCGCGATTTAACGTCGCCAATTTGCAGATCTCGGGGGGATCGAGCTTCGTTAAGATGATCCAAATACAATTCTCTGGTAGGTCTTGTAAGAAAGAAGAAGAAGGTGAAGAAAAATGGTGATTGTTGTTAGTGTGGTGCTTGGCGAAGGCAGCCCCATGCCCATAAAGGGTAATGAAGGAGAACTTGATTTGGGTATTGGCAGAAGAAAGAAGAGTTGAAGAATTGGAGTTGTTGGAAATACTGGATTTCCAATTCCAATTCCAATTCCAATTACGAGAGAGAAGGTGTAAAAGCGAGTGTGCATGGAATACTTTTTGTGTGCTTTTTTTAAAAAAAAAAAAAATCAATTTATCATTATTATTATTTTTTTATTTACTTTGCCTTCCGAGGTGGGGGCAGAGGCCCCACACGGCATGAAATATTTTTTGGTAGGTTAATTCATCTTTTGGATGATAAGTCAATTAATGACAAATCCAACTCATAAATGTAATAGAAATCATGTCTGCTGTGGGTGGACGGATCAAGTTTTAATAAAAATGATGGGTAAATATTAATATATGAATTTTTAATCCACTCAAGTCTCACAAATACTAATGCAAAATAACAAGGAACTTTAAAATCATTAAGAAAAGCAATGAAAATAATAAAATTAAGGGAAAAATTAAAGGCCTTAAGAAATTAACTTTACCTACTTAATTTACAAGTAGATAAATGAAAAACGTCAAAATTAAATAAGATTTTGCAAATATGACAATTTTGTAACGTAAACATCTACTGATATCTTAAACGTCCGACGTTTTGTTCAATAACATAACCAGTTGAATTATATGAATATTTTAATATAGATAGTTTCTATCTTTAAAACTTCATTTTACCCTGAATAATTAAGGAAAGAAAAAACATATCGTCAGAAATTTATATTCTAAAGGAAAATTAAAACAAAATAAATTATACAAAATATCATTAATTGGTTTCGGAGTTACCCTTGCATTGGAATGGGCTTACTCATGTAGGGACATATTTTCCACGCGCTGAGGAGCACGTGGGAATTGGATAAGGGATTTGTTTTTTTTTTCAGAGTCAGATTTGAGTCACGCATATCATATGGAAATGGAAACCCACTTGAAAGAAACTTGAAAGGACTTTTATACCCCTCCCCCGGAATTCAAACATGACCTTGATGTATGATATATATTTTAAACAATTGAACTATACTCAATTTAACATTTACGTCCCTCAATCGTAATTATGTTCATTGAGCATTATTCGTCTTTTTAAATCTAATTGCTCCATTGAAAGTGGTAGACGCTGTTGTCATTTTATGGATAAGATCGACGATTTGGTGCTCATAGCATATTCATCTATATTCCACTCATGTCTACTCTTTCTTAGTATTTTAAATTTGAGAATGAGGGCCTTGAACATCCATATCAACATTCATATCAGGTATAAAAGACAGACATTTCATCTAAAATTTTTAAATAACACAATATAGTTTAATAAAAAAAAACTAAACACATTGAAGAGAAGTAAAGAGGTGTAAGAAGTATATCAATGGTATATTAAATTATGTATATCAATGGTATATCAAATTAGGTATACATATCATGTATATCATTAATATATAATCATTTATATCATGTTGGTATATCAATACTCATAATCAAGTATATTATTGATATATTAGCATTCATATCAGGTATATTATTATTATATCAACATTTATAATCAAATATTACTAATATATCAAATTAAGTATATCAAACGATATAACAAATAATGTAGCACATAATGTCTTCTTTCAAGATTGAAGAGATTTGAGAACAATGAGTTGGGAGAACTAAAAATAATGAGAGAATATAGAATGAGTGTTAGTGACAAACTAGTTTAAGAAAACCCTATATTTATAGGCGCAATCTTGGATATATAAGTTATAGGCACGGTCTTAGATATATAAGTTATGGACATCATCTTCTTATGAATGAACCTTTTTGGGTGATACCAAAAACATAAAACCACGAAGACTTACGTCTAAAATGGATAATATCATATCATTAAAGATGTGAATGAGGATGGTCCCTTATCCCTAATTACTATTGGTATAGAGTCGTGTCTCTAACTTAGCCATGTGAGTAGAATCCTTGGGTGCCTAACAAAGTGGCGAGCCTTGATGAACATAGTCATGAAAAGCCGTGGTTGAGCTATCTGACAGGAGATATGCTCCGATGAAGAAAAGTGGCGCCAGGTTAAAGATGATATGCTCATAATAAGACACAAATGAATAACTATATAAGGGGAGACTCAGTGGTCTTTTGTTTGAAGGGAGTATTGTTGGGTCGTCTGAGATCAAAGTCACATATTGACTAGGAAAGCGGATGTTCGTAGGTATATAAGCAATGAACAACATCTCCATTAAAGCAAAGTGTTAAAGGACTTATGTTCAAAGTGGAAAATATCAGACAATGTGAAGAGTGGTCCCTTGTTCCTAACAAGGCCAAAACAAAGTTGAAATACTCGTTTTTTTGTTTTCTTTTTAGAAATGGTTGAAAAACTAAAATATAATTGCAATATAACCAAAAAAGAATTAAAAAAGCTATTGATGTGGTACCAAGAACAGACCATTTAGAAAACCTATTTCCATCCGTGAAGTTACATTGCCGAAAAATTATAACTTTTTCTAGTAAACGTTAAATTCTAAGTTTCACACAGAATAATTATATTTAATAGAATTCTAAACTTTTAAAATGTATATAATAAATCTCTAAATTTTAAATATTTTATATAATAAGTCTATGAATTTTTAAGAAGTATCTAAAATTCTTAAACTTTCCATTTTACCTATGATAGGTTCTTTATCTTTCCATTTGTGGCTTATTAAATTCAATCTTTAAAGTTCATGGATCAAACTTTGTAACTCAATCCAGAAGGAATAATATATATATATATATATATATATATATATATATATATATATATATATATATATATATATATAACTTTCCCACACAGCCCAAAAGGAGAATAAATTAGAAAGCTTTTACTTTAAATCCCAATCAATCTGTGTCAATTTTTTCTTTCTTTTCTCTTTTCCTTTTGAATTTTGATTCTTCTGTCCATTCAAAAACATGAGACTATTCATTTGCGTTAAAGTCTATTTTTACCACCAAGACTTTTATAATTTCATAATTGAAAGCGTCTCATTTGTTTGTCCTTTTTTTTTTGTCTCGAGTTTGATGTTTATATTAATTGTAGCTTATTACTTGTTTTAATTTAGATTATATTAGGTAGCACGTGTGTGTATATATGATCTAAGACTCGCCTACAAGTCTAGGGCAACCATTCTCTCACGGGCGGCATGACTTTTAGTTTTCGATCTCAACAACTTGTTAAGTTCTTGAGTCTTACTCAAACGATTCCAAAGATCACATGCACAATTTTGTCCTTACTCTCTCTGACAAACAATTGCAATCGTACGTCTCATAAATAGGTGTCTTGTATTATGTCATGGTCATGCTCCCTAGAGCCTCTTGCTCGTAGCTGTATATTTATAACAACCTCTTCTCACATGTTTTCATCTTATACATACTTAATTTTGTATATTAATTTCTTTTTCTAGTATTTGATAGTGAGTGACTTATCGCCATTTTGTTACGACAGGTGATTTTTTATTTTTATTTTTTCTTGTCAGCACTAATGTGATTTATAATTTATAATGATGCGTTGCATTCACATTCACGTTCTTCACTTACCCACCGCATCAAAGATGTAAATCATATTATTAATTTAATTAATTAGACCTTGCTCTTCACATGTCTATTTTTTAAATATTTTAACCAAAGTTTAATATGTATTCCCCTCCAACTTGTTGGACTTTGGACTCTTGGTTTATTTTAATAATAATGCTAGGTGGTGATTGTGGTGTGGCAATTTTATTTGTATTTTTTCGGTAAACTTTTACAAAATAATGTATATATTGTTTTGACTCAGGATTATTTGATTTCATCTTCCTTCGTCTTTTAACAATCCTATTTCTTAATAGTATGTTCATTTAAAATCGGATCGATCGATCGTAACAGATCGGATTGAAATCGGTTGGTCAGTTTTAGAGGTGAGTCGATTGGAGGTTGGTTTTGTCTTAGGCAAACTGACAGGTCGATCGTTCGATTCTCTTGAAACTACAAAAACCGACTAATATACGTGGTTAAAAAAATTGTCATTTCTTTATCTCTTTCATGTGAATCACGTGTCAACACCCTATTCCCTCTATTTGCAAATCATTTGGACGTGATTTGCACTGATAAGTGATTTGCCTCATTTTTTTAATCTTTCTTTGCTATTAACGTGAATATTATTTTTTATATTTAATCTCATCTTCTCTATCAACTATACTTCATTTCTCACCAAGTGAACATATCTCAGTGGTAATTGACAATGGATATTCAGATGGACGAGAGACAGACCAACCTCGAGTATTTCAACAATACAATAAGAAACCACCTCCCTCCTCTATTCAAAACTGAATGACAGAACTGCAGATGGTCGATCGATTTCTACAAAGATTTAAAAAAATATTAATTGACTAAAAACTGAAGGGTCAGTGGTCGGTGTCGATTTTATACTAAAACCAATACTGACCGACCGATGAACATTCATACTCTCATCTATCCTTAAGCGTATCTATATATATAACAAACATGTATTTACTAATAATTTTAATGTTTCAAAATACTCGTAACATAGATATCGAGAAGGCAATTTCAACACATTTTGAATAATTCAAATTAGATGCCAAATGAGAAAATTATGAGCAAAATAAGATCTCATGCAAAATCCTACATGGCATATAGCTAGCATCTTGAATACGTATATTGATTACGTGATGACATGGCACATTCAACGATCACAAATTGTAATGATGTGGAAAACCATAGATTATTGCTAATATGCAACGGGAGAGTTAGTCTTTGAAACTATTAATTTTTCATTTGAATTTTTGTAATAAGGCGTGGAAGTACCTTAGGTTGTGAGGTGGGTTTTAATAGTAACCGAAAACATATTGAATAGTAGTTTTGATTCTGAATCTATAAAAAAGATCACGTAATGATTTGATCTTAAACTAGTTAAAAATATCGATAGTCAGATGTTGAATCCTAAACTTGCGAAGATAGGGTTTGTCCTTGAGCCAAAAAAACATTTATTATGGGCATTTACCAATCTTGTAGCATTTTGTCTTAGTGTTTTCAAATGATCCTACAATATATATAACTCATTTTCATAGTATAAAAAAATATGTGTTCAAATCTACACTCCTTGCATATAAT